ATTTAACATGCCAGCATTGTTTAAGTATATGTATAGCCTATACATCCTTGAGGGATAAAACAATTAGTCACTCGCGATCATTTTTAACGCCCGTTGAAATTCGAAGAAACGAACCTTGGCTAAACTCGAGTTCGTTCTATTTCATTCTCGCCAGATGTTGACCTTTCGCAGTTCACTATGATCGGTAATTTTCTCGTTCAAAGCAGTGTACCTACGTACTACAAAACGTCTTTCTTACGTGCGAACGTATCCGACCGCGTTTAATCGTTGCGGAAATGAGAAAAGCGAGAAGAGAGTCTGAGCGCGACTATGTACTTACGGTAAATGTCTAATGGTACTTCGCGGACAATCGGAGCAGGCATCATCGGCGATTGAACTCTGCATTCGAGCTTCGTACCCCATAACGATCTCGCCACCTTGTCGATGAACAGGTGGTTCACTGTGAATTTGCTGGGCGGTCCGATGGAGACGGTATCGACGACACCGTCCAATAGCTCACCATCCTTCCACCACGTTACGGTAGGCTTTGGCCTTCCTGAAAGAAACGGCGTTGTCCGTGGAACGTCTGAAATCCCAGGTCGTCCGTCTGGACAGAATGGGATATGAATAAAAGAAAAGATGAAATTTACCACCGGATACTTGACAAGTTAACGCGAGATTGTAACCCTCCAAGAAGGGGCCGGCGATTGCTTTCACTTCGTGTCCCTGGGCGTTGTATATCACGGGCTGCGACGGTACCTCTGAACGACAAATAGAACACAAATTGGTCGCGTCTGTCCGGCGATTTCCGATCTCCGAAAATACGTGCCATGGGTACTCACCGATAAGCGTCAGATTCACGCGGAAGTTTCTCGTCGGGGAATCGACGAAATCTACCCTACATCTGAAGATTCCCTGATCTTTGTACGTGACCTTGGTAACCTTTAGCTTGGCCCGATGTCCATCGCCGATTTGAAAGTAAGTCCTCTTGCCGAGATCGTCGCTGACGGCCCAGTGGATCGCGGAAGCGGGATCACCATTTCTCGCGTCCAAGCTGCTCGACAGAGAAACTGGGGTAATGTTTCGAGTTTTTTTATTTCGCGATCGACGATAAAACGGCAACGGGGTTACTCGGTTACGCAAGCAACCGAATGCTCGGATCGACTCGGACGGGCTGACGATACGCTGTTTCCGGGTCCGAAGAACACGGTAAACATCGCGTCGACAGGCCAAGAACCCCCCGCTGGCCAATTTCATCGTGACTAACTCTAGCATGCTCGTCTATTTGCGGAGAAAAAAAGGGTAGTTGGCAAACGCGCGGTCAGCGAATTTAGATTCGACGCGACCCACGGTTGACCGTTGCGCAATGTCGAGGAGGAGGAAATCGCTCCGCGACGACGCGCGACGAGGACGAAGAAACCGATCCGCGTACGATTTTCTTAAAATTGCCAAATTTTCTTCGCATCCTCATTACCATTTCGCGGAAAGCAGAAGAAAAAATTCGATAATCTCCGATCCTCACCTGCCTTTGCTCATACGAGTTACGACTCTCTCTCGCCGTCTATGTTACAGTTTTTCGGTTGCCTCCGGAACCACGCGTTTCGTTCTGTTTTAAGGCAGGGTTTCGTAATCGTGCTTTGGGTTTGGAGGCGAGCACAGCGATACCAGCAATTAATGGCAGTTGGCCCTAATACCGTAACGGGAACGTACTGTTTTACGGGCGGACTCCCGGTTCCCAGATACGTAAACCAACGCGCGTGGCGTTTACACGTATTTGTTAATACGAAACGACGATCGACCGCTCTATTTCTAGAAGCTCGTCGGTATTAAGGAATTCCACGGTTTGATGCCAATGTGAACCTCGGAGATTTCCTCGGTTTATTTACGTTTCACGGTACCGCGATCTACCTCAATTCCACTTTCGTTCAGACGATAAATTCGGACGAAAACGAGAGATAATTTTAATAACCCCGGTTCATTGGCATACGGACGAGCGTACGTATTTAGGTGCGCGTACTCGTACATCGAGGGTAGCTGCTTATTTTCGGCGAAGCTCATCGGTCGCGTAGTACAATAGAGAGAAGGGTGAAGATAGATATTTCCGAGGCTCGTCTCTCGAGATATTTCGAGATACGAACACATAGATCTCGAAACAATGGCAACTGCGGGAGCGCGTTCTTATTAGGTTCTTCGTTATAAAACGATTCGTCTTCTGTGCAAATGGGAAAGCTCAGCGCGAATGATAAAAATCTATTAAACTCTGTAGCCCCAGTGGCGGCGGTCGTAGAGAAGGAAGTAGATTTACCTGTAAAGCGGAATCCCAGCGGTGTCTTTGAACCAGAGCACCATGCTGACGGAGTCGTTGGGCGTTGGAGGAGTTATATCGCATGGCAGTTCGACGTCCTCGCCCTCAGCGCCCCATACCAACTTGAGCGGTGCTGTAAGAGCGTAAGTCGTAGGCCCTTAAAAAAATCCGTACAGAGGAATAGACATCGTTATCGAGATTAGGTTAGTTCGCAAAAAAAGAGCTAAGTTGCCAGCTCGTTAAGGGGTGCCACCGCACCTAGTAGCGAAGAAACGTCACTAATGAAGCGAACCCTTGCTACAGAGATCCGTCTGACTAATTCCACAAGCACGACGCCACTATCCACTGACCACGCGCGTCTTTCCCGCGAGCGTTCTTTCCTCGCTATTCCGCTCGTTACATCCGGCTCAAAGAAACCGGTCTGAGTACCGGGTGCGCGATTAAAATGAGATTTCGTGCTACGAGAATTTTAAAAATCAGAATCTCCAACAGTCGATTACTCGTTACCACGAAACGAGAAAATACGCATCGCGTAAGAAGGCGTAGGCGAAACGGAAGATGCAACCGTTGCCAAAAGAGAACGACCGAATTATCAATGGCATACCGCTGTGTGCATTAACACCGGTTCCCACGCGAGTATACCTGCCAGAACGCGACGCGTAGTTTCTCGTGTTTCCCAAAACTGTGGCAGTCCGAAAATGAAAAATTGTCAATGATCGAAAAGGAGAGATTAAACTGGACGCGATACCGCTCGCCCCCGCGGTCCATTCTTCGTTCGTTTCCCCGTCGGCGTACTCGATTTTCCATCGTTCCAACCTCGTATAGCTTTTTCGTGTTCGCAGTACGCGGTGCGGCACGGCTTAACGCGACGCTGAAAGGCGAACGGCCAGCGTAGTTTGTCTTCTCGACAAACCGTTTCGGCGCTACGCTGAAAACGCGACCCCGCGCTTCGATTTACACACGAACAAGTCTCCGTGTACGTATTCGCGAATCAAAGCCGTCCGAATAGGAGTTACGCGAATCGAACCTTTCTTGGCAACTATCAACGAGATTAAGAGTTCGATTTTCTACGGGCCGAACGAACTCGGCCAAAATCGATGTGTCGTCGGTGGAGCGTGTTTCGAAATACAGCTCTAAACGCGAATGCGGGCCAAACCTTCGACCGCGATCGGGACTCCCTTTGAACATCATTCTCCTCGCATACGTATGGATATCGTTGCATCTCGGAATAGAATTCCTATGTCCGACGGGAATCAATAAAGGTTCGAATAAAAAAAAAATAAAGAAAGGAGCTAAGAAGAAAGAAAGAATGAATCGAGTACACCGTTATGTAAATAATGTTCGCGCGAAGGGTAACCCTCGTTATTTCTGTATCGCGTTCATTGGGAACCGCGCTTCCGCCGAGTCGTCTATTTTCGTGTCCCCGATCTCCGTTTCTTCCAGTCACCCACTCCTCCCTCCCTCCGTACGTTAAAAACTCTACGCCCGATTCGGAATCCATTTCTCGCGAATCGAGCTCGCGGTCGATCTAAAAATGATCGTTAGAATAATTTATGAGAACAGAGAACGACGATACTATTAACATCCAGAGACGTCGAGCTCGAGGCTTCATCTCCTCGCCTCCGCGTTCCCCTACCGCGGATGGAATTCCGCTACCAATGTGGAATTAATTACGAGTTCTTTTTATCGAGGACGTGTCGCGATGTCGGTCTGCCGCGCGCGTTCGATTCTTCTGTTTCCTGTTCTTTGTCGCGTTCGTGCGACGCATTCAAAAGGGTCTACATACGTTCCACCGATCATCTTCTATGCCGATTACGTTCAACCGCATCGCCTCTTCTCGATCGAGCCCTGCGGGCCCCCGGCTTTAGTCAATTTCATTCGCGCGTAACTCCATTTTCCTCTAGCCAACGCCAACACCTGTTGCTTTCCTCGCCCAGAAGAAGTCCGGTTCATCCATAAAATTCCAACTGTCGCCACCTACGCTCCATCTCGATGGCTCTTCCGGTTCTCTTTTTCTTCTCCACCTCTTCGAATAGTTCTCCATCGACGTACTTCCCGAAGTTTATCGATAAGCCGAAGTTGGTTTACGCACGCACGATCGTATACTCTACACGTTGCACTATTACACGAACGTTTACGTTGGAGACGGGAGATCTGAAAGGTTTTTCGTTTCCCGAGTCACCGCTCCGCGTCGAAGCTCTCGAATCGATTACGTGCGTGAAATATGAACGACGATAGATTTCTGCCTCCTACATGTTTATTTATCGCCTAGGGCCGAGAAAAGAACTACAGAGAAGAGCAGTTCGGTTTTATACCCGGAAAACGCGACCGCGATGGGAGGTCTATCGACGACCAAATCCAGATATTTCGTTCTGATCCAAGATCGTAATTACGTTTAATGGGGCTGCGCGATAGGGTCGAGCGGAAAGCGATTCGTTCGACGTACCTCTTCGCCCCTTAGCTCAACTCGCCGCTCAGTTGTTTTCCCAACAGCTGGCTCCTGACGTTTACCGTAAAGCAAACGCGTAAAGATTACAGCGATGTACTGCGGTATAGTCGATACCTCTTCAGTACACTCCATTAATACCTCTCCGCTTGAAGAACGATGATGAACGACCGTGAATACGGGACTTTCAGACCTTCGAACCACCCAGCTCGCAGTTAGGCTCTCTCCTTTCCAAATATTTTCGTTCGAACGAGAAAGGAGTCGTCGGCGGATCTATTATTCGCGGCAAGGACGATAGACGCGTGTATTTTCGATCGGAATTTTAGGCACGTCGAAAGGGCCGACACCCCTCGAATTCCTTCCGACTTTGTTCAACCTCTGTTCGACGCGTCAGTCTGCAGTACGTTTAAAAGCTACGCGTATGTGTCTGTGCGAAACCGAAACTCGCATTCCTTTGCGCGCTTTTCGCTTCGAATGTGCAACCGATCCGTTCTCGATTTTCTCGCAAGCATCGGAAATTAGCTGCGCGTTAACAGGGAACGCGACGACGAGGCCAGCGTTTTAAACGAGGTGGCGCCTTTTTACCACTACCGCCGCGGGTCAAAAATAAATTGCGCGAATTCTTTCGTTTTGGAATCCGGTACCATGCGTGCATGTACTAAAATCAAAATATCCACAGGTAAAATTCGTTCGTAAGTTGTGTGGAACGGACCGAATCGAAAGAGACGATCGACGAATCGACTTTGTAGCGGTGCCCCAAATAATCAACAACGAGTTCGTTTCAAAAGCATAACGTTCGAAAAAGTCGATATTTCTCGTTTGCCTGACGTTCGGTAAAAGGAAAAGCCTGGCCCACCGAGAGTCCATAGAACGCTGACCGACGTGGAAAAACAGGAAACCAGACGCGGTTAAAGTTTCGAACGCATGGACCAGGGTTTAGAGTTAGAGTTTAGGATTGAAAGTACGTGTCTCTTCCATTTTTTTACGGGAACGTGTTGGGAGCCGATCGGGGACACCGAGAATTTGGCAGCGTCGCGTGGACGCGTCGAACGCGATATCCAAATGTTTCCGGTCGTCGTTGATAGGCTCGATCCGAGCCAGCTAAACTCGCAACTTATTTAAAATCCGGCCGAGGTCAGCGCGCTCGTTCGCTCCGAAATAAGTTTCCGATACGTCGCTCGTGCCCACCTCGTCTTTACGGTTTGGATTTGGGCCGCGTTTGTCGGAAAGAAAATCGGTGCTCGATCATAAGTGAACGAGGTAGCGACCATAGTTACCTTTGTTCTGAAATTCAGGCGAATCCTCGATGGCTGACTCCGCCCGACGCGCTCGTACCAGTATCAGCAAACTTGTCAGAAACACGTGTCCCGACGTGCACCGCATCTCGAACCGGTAACGCGGCATAGGCGAGAGAATCGGGTGTTCCACTTGACACCCGCGCAAACATTCGATCCGCCAGCGATCTAGATGTGTTCCCCTCGTCCTCGCGTTCCTTCGTCTATCTGCTTCGACACGACGACGACGTCTCTAATCGCGAATCCTACCCGCGTTAATATCGTTTGACGTCACCCCACTTACGGATCACATTTTCGCGAACACTTCTCATTTCTCCGATTCGTTCATCGTCCGGAACGAATATTTAAGTGCTTGTCACTGAAATCCCTGCGCAATTATGACACTAATTATTATAACACGAAGCCTCTCTTCGTCGAAATCGTTGCACGACGATATACCTATTTCCTGTGGAGTTCTGCGCGTTTCTCTCGCAGTTGCTCTTTTCTTCTAATCGGAACGCCAGGCGTCGCGGTCCGTGTACACGTGCTCGTTATTAGTCGGGACGCGCCGCGCGTTGACGAACCGAAATCTTTTGATTAACAAAACGAGCCGACGTTTTTTCGCATCCAAACGGGGATTCCTCTTTGTCCCCTTTCACGAAACCCTTCCCCGGCTCTTCTTCCAGTCTCCCGCTTCTACTTTCAAATTCTCCACGCTCCTTCAGAATTTTTTTACGCCACTCAATCGTTGCTCCTCCGAGTTCTTCGCGGCCAACACCCTCGTACAGTTCCAACTTTGATCTCGAAACTCTGTAACCTTTCGTTTTATGTTTCGTCTTGCCGCGCGTTTCTAATTCTTACGATTGGACAACTGCTACTCTCTCCCCGCGTGCTCGGGTTTAAATTAGATTTAAGATCAGGTGGCTGGATCGTCCGATGGAATTTCTTCGGCCCTGAATTCCACCGTCTTAAATCGCGATTCGCAAAAATAATCACGTTGCAGCGTTGCCAGTGTCGTCGAAACGTTTGCGACAACCTTAGCGATCGTCGATATTATTTTTCAAGAATCTTCGTTTTCGCGAAGATACGTTACAAGAGCGAGACAAATGTCGCGGGCGGACGATCGTAGTTCGTTCGAGATTATCGTAGTCGTCACCGGCAGCGACTGCCACGGTACTAAAACCTAAAACCAAAAGCGAAGACACACGCGTGTAGCTGCCCCCACTTTCGTGCACCCTCCTCGTGTGGCACACGTCCATTTAACAACCAGGCCCCGAGGACACGCACATGCACGCGCACACCCGTCAGTGACCACTCTCTCGCCTCGGGATAACTTTCATGCGTCTTAACGCGAACGATGCACTTTGCACATCCCCCTGTTAACGATGCAAGTTTAAAATCCCTCCTTCGAGTTCATTTGCGCCTACTTCCTCTCTAATTGCTATCCCATACTTTCGTTCGGACAATATCTCTGTATCCGGCGGACAAACATATCTGATAAACGATTGATGCGTTAAATTCGAACCTTTAGATCGCGTACGCTTGTCAAATATCGATGCGAAATAATTTATGAAACTTTGTTTTGTCGTTTCGCTTTGTTTCGTTTGCAAAGATTTGTTTTCGGGGCGACACCGCGTCCGATCAAAAATATTTATCTGTGCGTGGAAACAGAGCCCGGCCGGTGCACATAGCCGCGAGCTAAACTGTTGGAAACGCGTGCGTTCCGCTCCGCGTGTCGCTGGACACCCCGCCTCTTTCTCTCTCCCATCGTCCGCTCTTTCGCTCTGCGGCCGACTCGTACCTGAAAAGGGAGCGAGTTTGGCTCGGTGGAATAAATGCGGTGCGGCGTCAGTTTTCTGGCGTATCATCGTACAGGCGATTACTCGAGCGTAGGGGAACTCAAAATGCTTCGCAGCGTGCGAGGACAGAGGGTGGAACGTGGACGGCGAAAGGGTCGTAGGCAAGTGGTTCGGTCGCGTTCGATACGAGGGATCGATCGTTCCTAAAACTATTCGGGATATCAGTGACAACTAGTTAATACGAAAAGTTTGTACAAAGAAACTGATGTAGGATTAAATACTACGCGAGATGAAACGGACGATGTTTAGAATAATTTACAGGATCGGCGCTCGGGATAGGAGGTTTCTCCCCTCGCGTATTTACGTTCGATTCTTTTTCCTTTTCATAACCGGAGCGCCAGAATCCTGTGCGATGAGAGTGGGTGGAAAGGGGGGCATTATGAGCCCAGTGTTTCTAACGTCTCCGCGCGGTTCGCGGCCGCGGTGAGTCTATTTTCGGTGACCCCGCGTTTCCCTGTGTAGTCAGATAGCTTACTTTCGCGTCGTCCTTTGGAACCGGTCGACCACACGCACTCGCGTGGATCTACGAACACGAAATCAAAAGCCGTGAAAGGCGAAAGACGAAAACGGTCCGCGGACTTGAAATTCTTTCGCTTCGTTCGCGTTGCTGTCACGCGCAGGAAAATATAACGAGAAACGAGATCGGCTTTTCAACTTTCCGGCGGATATACAAAGAAACTCGTTAAAGGGTAAAAAAGTGGAAAAGACAGAGTGAGCGAGAGGGAGAAGGAGAGAAAGAAAGCGGGAGAGAAGGACAGCGCGACGCGGTGGTTTATCGAGAAGGAGTCGAAGGTAAATGGTCTTTCAGTCCCGGTCCCGAACGGATCGTGCATCCGCCGTCCGTGGCCGCCCGTTTGAACGCTGAATCCGGCACAGTCGCGTTTATTCGCCGGCGAGAATCTCGTCGAACTTTATCCACTTGGTTAGGTACAATTGAACGGCGCGGCGCGGCGGCCGCGTCCGGGTGTATGCTCGAGCACCCCGTCGACCACTCGAAACTTTTACTGCCCACCACCGCGCTCCGTATTTATTCTTCCTGGTCGAGCTGCTGGTTTTCCCTCTTTAAATTAAACGATTCCACGCGCCGGTTCGTTGCCGTTTGCTCCGTCGCGTTGCACCGTGACCGTCCGCTCGGATCGCGGTGAAGATCGCTTTTATCTGCTCGGCTAATGACGCGGGATGATAAATAAACTCGGATTTCGCGCCTGGATGCATTCGTGATTCGATTGGATTCGAAAGGGAGGCGCGATTCGATCTGAATCGACGATGCTCTCTGTTTCGACGAGGACTCCTACGATGGAGGAGCCGTGGTAAAAACGTCGAGTCACGTGTTTCTTATCTCACGGAAAGTCTGCCGTGAATGGCATCCGTCGGAGAGGGAGAATTTTCCAAATATTTCTCTACTCGGAATGCGTTCATCGCAGCTGCCATTAAACTCACCCCTCCGTCATCGAATCTCTACCTCTGACTCTGGTTCGACTCGGACCCGTGTACACGGCCGAGTCTGTGTGCGCGGATAATGCTCGATTCTTTCTCCCCGTCTATGTCTACGTGTATCCCGAATTCGGCGCGAACGAGTGGAGAAAGGAGGCGGATCGATATCCCTAGCTGGCGCATCCCTTTATCCAGCTCATGGTGGATAAAGTACGTCAGTCTCAGCCCTTGCGGGACATAAATAATAGAATTATAGAGGAGACGTAATTGCGATCGTGAATTGCCGCGAAATTTACGACGGCCCGTAGGTGGTCCTAGGTCTGATCCCGCTTCTGGCATCGATCGATATAGATAAAGTCGTTGCGTATTATCAGGGATGACGGCGCGTGTCGATAGAACGTGTTTTGAACTTACGAGGGAGCGTCACGTATGCCACAAATTGAGAACGACGACGACGACGACGACGTTGCGCGTAGGCGGACAACCCGGTGCGAGTCGACTTGAATGAGGGCTCGCCGCTGGACCCTGTCCGGTAATGGCCAGTTCTCTAGTTAAATGATTCGGGCGTGCATTTCTCTTTTTATCTTTTACGCCGGTACTTACCGTATCGTCAGAGCGTACAGTACGAAAATTTCTTTTTCGAGCCAATCCTAATTGTGTTCTACGTAACTCGAACGAAATATTCCATTCGGGCTGCCCTGAGCCGGGCGCCACTTAACCCTTATCCTCGGGCTTCCCGGTTGGAAACTAAGCGAATCCTGCGTCGTAACGCCCGTCGGTGTACAACCCTCGTACATTTTCCAATTAACCGTAATAATTTTTAACCACTGGGCTAAGTTTATGAGGACGCGTAAACGACGGGAATATTCTTACGAGATAAATCATCCGCATGCGGGCGACGAATATGATATTTCCGGCGGAGGTACGCGTCTCCCGTCTAATCGCCGTCGGGAATTACGATTACAACTTGGAACGCTCGTATATCTCTTCGTCAGCGCTCCGGTAGCGTCCGACTTCGAAAACCGCTGCAATTGATTTAGTCCAAATGCGCTATTAGTAATGGGCTACTGAGTCATCGAGCAGTCGCGTATCTCCCGGAATTGTTTGCGCGTATGTATGCGTACTGTGCACGGGTGTGTGCAGGCGCGACAGAGAAACCGCGATGACTAACGAGAATCGAAAGGCGATCGATATTAATCTGAATACGACAGCGCGGCGCGGGGCGATTCGGCAATAGGAAACGTCGCGCGGCTCATTTTCTGCCTATTAATATTTATACATGTACGCTCTGGTACATCGTATCTTTCGGTCCCGGGTCGCGCATTATTCGCATAAACGTAAACGCATCCCGACCAGATTTCCATTCAGCATCGGCATAAATCGATTTCGAAAATTAAACCGATCCCGGTACTCGATACTTTCCGCGAACCTGCGTCTTCTCACGGTTCCATATTCAACGATCAGTTCGGAGATTCGTCCGGATATGAACGATTCGAAATAGTTGGCTCGGAAATGATAGCGTAACTTGGCGAGATAGATTCGGAAAAAAATTGTCGATTCTTAATTAACGTATCGCGATTCTCCGAAATTGCTACGTACACGCTTGTGTACACAATATCGTGGTAGGTATGCGCGCTTGGAACGATCCCCATTTCGCACCGCGAGGGTCGAGGGCGCACCCCGTGAAGCGTAGAGGCACCCTCTCGTCGCCCGGACGAGGAAACCCCATGGCCTATGGCTTATCGATCGCGTCTCCAGAAGCGAGATACGTTCGTCGTGCGACGCGTGGGAGGATGAGTCACGAGGCTGGCCCAACGTGACACAGCCGTATTACTTTTATAGCGTTTTCGCGTGGCCACCATGATTCATTGGACCCTGTAGTTTTTCCGGAACTCTCCTATTATACTTCATGCTGTACTCTCTCCACGCGATGACCGAGTCTCACCGCTGCGACCCTCCCGCGGCTCGAATGAATCGCCCGAAATCCCAGAACGGCCAGATGTCCCATATGGAATTTCGTGTACGAATCGTCGCTAGTTACCGCGATCGGTTCGCGTGGTTTCGGTTTAATTGGAAACGTTTGTTATTCCTCCAGGCGGCTATAGCTTTTCAATCGCGCCGGCCTCTTTCCAACCGAAGCCGTCGAATAAACCGGCGGCGGAACGGAAGAGAGTAACAACATACGAATGCCCTGTCGCGAGTCTTAATGCGCGCATCGATAAATCTCGAGCGTGTTTCGTGCGTATGCGTGCACGCGCGTGCCTCGAGTCCGACACATCTCTTCGGGAGAGCTTTTTCGTTCGGCACTTAACATCCTCAGCCATCGTCCCGAAACGAGTTTCTTTCTCGTTGCCGCTCGCAAAGCTTCGTAAATAAACGCCGTTTTAAAATAAACGACCGAACGATATAGTCACAGAGAAAACTCGCAGAAGAAAGCTAATTCACCGGATGCCAGAAAAATTCTTGCCTGGGAAAAAACGGAACGCGAATGGGTACCGGGCGGGGAATTGAATTTCAATAGAGGCGGCGTCGTCGACGACGGCGACGACGACGACGACGACGACGATCCCTTGGACGAGAATTAAAATGTACGTTAATGAGGTCGGTGTTAGGTGTTGGGACACGGGACGTCCATCAACGTCGACGAATTTTCCACGTCCTCTCTTCTGACGTGGGTGGTGAAAAAGAAAATCCTCGAATAGCGTGCACGGATTCCTCTCGAATGGAAATGGAATAATTTTAGTGCGGCCATTACGTATGCGCGTATGGAATCGTGAGTTGTCGAGGAGCATCTAACGCGAACTAAAATTATTACGGTACAGTTATGCGAAACGAAATAGAAACGGTCACCGATAAAAGGGAGAAAAGGAAAAGAAGGAGAGGAAAAAGGAAAGAAAGCGTGATAAAGAGAAACAGGAACGGAGAGAGAGATAGGGTTCGGCGCTACCTCCGAACTTTCAGGGCGCCAAGAATTCGACATTCCTGAATTCTTCGAGTTGTTCGAGGAAATATTGGCATTCTTTTCGCGTTCTAGTTACGTGTCTCGTCACTGTGACTAAATTGGACCTATAGCGAAAGAATTTATTATTATTCCCGCGGTCGGACGAACCACTGCAGTTCTCGGGAGTTTCGAGAGAGCGTCAACGGATTCGTCGAGAGAGAATATGTCTGCCATTGTGCGAACGCGAGCGTCGAACCGAAACTCGTTCGTCGCTAAACAAAACGGGGCTTAAGGGTAGATGGTGCTTTCCTTCGTTTCCCCCGAACCAGGGTATTAAATGAAATATTATGCAATTCTCGAGCTGGAATGGCGTGAAAGGAAAGCGGAATGTGGGGAGAACCTCGAGATACGCGGCTCGCGTTTCGCGAACGGGCTAAAGAGGGAGCCGAACTTCGAAGAGAGCAAAAGGAGTGGCTCGAGGAGGCTGCGGAGAGCCGAGAGGCGATGGAATGCCATGATTTTACACCGACTTGGACAAAACATTTCCCACCGAGAGTGCGACCCGGCCAAAATAGAGGCGCGTGCACCTGTCCTGCTAGAAAAAGAACATTTCTCTCTTCGTGTCTCCCCGTTTCCACTTTCCGATCCTCCGCCCGTTCTCCGTTCGCTCTTTTGCTCCCCGTCCTCCACCTCCACCTCCCTCGAGCGCGCTCGGATCGTTTTTCCTGTATCGCAGCGATATTTCCCGCTTTTTCCTCGCCATTTTTACTCGCCCCTACCCGTGGTCTCTTCAAAGATTCTCTTTTCGTTCTCACGACCGCTTTCTTGTAGGCGCGGCCTTCTAGCGTCTCCCAAGCGAGCGCGTCCTTCCCTTTTGCTCTTTCTCACAGCGTTTCTTGTTGCTCGCGCACGCCATAACGCTATTTCCGTCAGCGGGCCACGGTGAAAACGTCGTAAGTCACTTAATGCTCGGTGGACACCGAGCCTAGCGTATCAAAGGGTGTGTTTTTAACGGGGAGAAAACGCCGCTGCGTCGTACCAAAGCTGAGCGAACGTTCATTATCCTATTGCATTGCATAACCGTACATCGGCCAACGAAATATCTTTTTTACGAGTTTTATCCACTGGAAACTCGGAGGACGCGCCAACTCCAGATACCGAAGCATAAGCATATATTTAATATAATAGCTACTTTATTTCGACTCGTACAATTGGGCGATGTAAATTTCCTGCGATCTATATACGTATACACCTACCTACTCGACCCGCTCTTTGCTTCTCGAGAACCATTCGCGTGGCTGCTTTCACCGGGCGGGCTGTATTCGCCGAGTGGTTGGCTAATTGTTCGCGAGCTTTACCCTTTAATATCGTTAAAAACGAAAGAACATCGCTTGGCGAATGGTTTACGCGATTCCTAATATATATTCGTGTACCCGTACGACTGCTAAACATGTACTTTTACCACGTACGAGATTTACGATAATCGAGACACAGCTTTTTCTCACTGGAACAGAACCGAGTATATCCATCTTCGCGTCGAGTCGAGACAGACCGGCGTACGTACGTATAATAATCTTTTGTCCGTCGGTGAATGTTCGGCTAGGTTTTAAGAGTCTAGCTCTCATGGAGTGAATCTCATGGGAATGGCTCTACTCCGTCTTCTTTTACCGAACGGTATCCCATACAAACGATGGGCCGTTTTTCTTGCTCGAGAGTCGAGGAGCGGTAGCTGTCAGCTAACAGTATCAGTCAAAACAGTATCGTATGGCACGGATCCGCGTCGAAATTTTGACGTGGGATATTCGTTCGTAATCGGGAACTCGTTCCGCTTCGCAGTGAAAAACAAAAATGAGACAGGCAGAATGGAACCTTGAATTCCTCCTCTCAAAAAACAAAGTGACTCGTCTCTGTGAGTATGCGGTCGGCACGGGGAAATTATTCTTCCTCGAGGAAATGGAAGAGCACGCAAAGTTTGAAATGCTGAGTATCTGGGTCGGTTACCGTAGACTCTAGATTCTAGATCGAGATGTTTCCAGAAGCGGTTTGGCGAAGGTCGCCACGACGATCCACGAAATTTCATCTAATAACGCGTCTCACAGTTTCTTACTCGTTCTACGCGTACACGTTTCCAATTTATCTCTCGGTGTCGTCACGCGAACAAAAGTTTCGCCGTAGAAGGCCGAAGCGCGATGCAATTTGCGATAGAGATCCAAATATAATGGCTCGGTCTGCCAGCCGTTTGGTTGTTTATCCCGCGAACCCGGCAACCCTTGCTTGACACGTTAACTCCAAAGAGACGCGGAACAGGATTTCCAGCGCTTTGTAAAACCGACGTCCGCGCTACAGCGCTTTGACTAACACGGTCTCGTTCGTTTCCTTGGATCGTCGTAGGACGTTACGTTCGTTAATTTAAACAGTAAATCCTGCAGCATGCGTTTAGGTAAGCAGATACACGGAGAGAAAACGACGTGTGCCGCGGCAGTTAGATATCGGTCTTGAAAAGAGAAATTGCTAAAGGGACGATCTGTGGACACCGTTTGAGCGTGTGTCGGCACGTAGTTCGAGTCGCGAAAGGTAAAGTTGGTTATAAATACACCCCGTTCAGAAATAGACCTTCGGACCGGTCGCCACTGCAAACCGCGAATCGTTCGAAAACCGCTGCCGCAGCCGGATATTCGGATGGCTCCCTAAAAAAGCTGTCTCCTCGACGCGAAACGAATCGCCGTTCGTCGAAATTGCTCGTCGTTCGCGACGTGCTTCCAGAGGAGCCGTCCTCGACCGCGAACGAGCAATTTCCCTAAGAAGCTGCGGGTGACACGCGGCATTCACAGATACCTATATCCGCGTAGCTATTGTTCTTTATGGCCGGCCGTGCTTTAACGTTGACAACGTCCATCGGAAGGTTCGTAAAAAGCTTTTAGAGCGGAGAATTTTTTCTTTATGACAGTCACTCTGGTACGAGAGCGTTCTTAGATACCCTATTCCGCGCCGGATGCACGTTTCCAGCTGCACGACACAGCCCATTCGGTACGTACACATGCATAAATCAAAAAACGGGTCGCTTTTATAACGTACGTACTTCTAACAGTCGATGCGCTCTTTCAATTTTCTCCGCTTCATTTCTTCACCGACCAGATTTTTCAGAAACGCGTATGTAGGTTCGCGGTACTACAGAAGTATAAGCGGGGGCAAGGGCAATCGCCGGATGATCGTCGGAAACGACTTGAAATCAAAGATTCTACGTACATATTCTGTTATCGGAAAAAATGCGATTTCTTATGTTCGTATTGATCTATGAGTTCCGTGGCGGCATCTTACGGAAGCAACGAACGCGTAACGAGCATCGTATCGATTTATATTCTATAGCATGCGATGCGTGGAAATATTAGACAACCGAAAATATTTTATGAAATAATAAAATTTATAATAGTTTGTGGGAGCTGTGGTAATATTTTATAAAAGAAAACGAAAGGTTATTTTCTTTATCAACGGTTGGTAGGATAGACAGATCGTACACATTTAAATTGTAAAAATGTATATATTTTCAATATAAATTTCATACATATATACATACATACATACACACGTAATTAAAAGCAAATTTGTAAAACTCGAAAAGTGAAACTTTTGATATGTTTGTTAAATTCCTTTGGAGGCACGTGATCGCAACGTTGCCCGTCGCTGGTGAATCATCCTCGAACGATCAAATCCCCTTGTCTCGCCTCTCCTCGCTTATCGAATATCGCTAACGCGATATTCTGCGTTGCTTCGCGATTTTCCGGCCGAACCAGCATTATTATTTATGTAAGTTCGTAGCGCGACTCATCGAACCGCAATGAAAGCGATATCGTATCAGCGACCGCAAATGTAAATTAAAAAATACACCTCCGCAATTATGCGTATTGCGACGGCACGTGATAATTCATTAATGATCGTCGAATTCGCGAAGGAAAAATTGTTACGCTTCGCATTAATCGCGAAACTAGCTCTCTGACAAATGGGTCCTGATCGGATCACGAATCGAGACGACATTTCTGGATCGATGGAATCGAGTTAGCCTTTGTTTAGTGTTCTAATTAGTAGAAATGAGATAATTGCTCGTGTAGAAACGAGAGAAGTATTGCGGGAGAGACGTTGCGAGAAGCGCATTCTCTAGATTTTTATTTCATAGTCGAACTCGAGAAAAAAGCATCGTCCAACTATGCGACTAACGGTACTTCGTAGATTTAATAGCCGCAGCTGCCTTTTTCGCATTTCTCTCGCTACTCACTTTCGCTTTTCATCCGCTTTCCGATAAGAACGCAGCGGAATGCGAGTAACGCATTCGCGGCTCGTGATACGCGATTCGTATTTCAGAAATCGGAAGCCCGGAAGTTCGACGTCAAGGCGATCGAACGCAAAATCGCTTCGTATCGAGGAACATCGCGACTGTAACAGGCGCGTGGAGATATGGTACACACGCTCCTGGACTGTAAACTCGGATCTCCCTCCGTGCCCGGCCTATGTGATTATTTTCCTGACCATGATTTTTGTATCGCATTTCTTAGAATCGAACTGTGTGGTCGTGTACGTCCACGTGATCATCAGACTTTGATATTTATTCGTCTGTCGATAAACATCGATCAACATTGATGGCAACATCCTCTGAATTTTACTTCACAAATCCGATTTCTCGGTATACTTTCAGGCGAGACAAAATACATATGCGATCGTCCCAACGAATATCCGATGTCTCAAAGATTTACAATCGAAGTGAACTATGTTCGATGATGAACGCGTCCGCGTTCAAGGTAGAGAGGTATAAAAAAGAACACGTGAGGAACGCGCACGTTCGATGAAGGTGAAGGCATGCTTCCAAAGGAAATAGACGAGGGAATCAGAGAACCATACATATGTACTACCATACAATGTCGCGATCTCATCAGGAATTCAAGTTCCCTGCGTCAAGGTTACCGTCGCTCCTCGTTTGTATTCTGGCCGACTTTATACTCCACCTGCTGCATTTCATCCTCTCCTTTCCGTGTACATCGTTTACGTTCACCATCCTTCAAACGGTTTAGTCCCCAGTCGATTGTTAAGTTTAGGAAAAATGCGACTTCGAAGGTGACGATCGCGAAAACGGAGTGCAAGCGAAAGTCCTCTGAGGAATACGTTTTCTCGCGTTAGATGAAACTTGGAAATCCTCCCGATGGTCGCGTCCTCGTCTCGCTCGTGCAGGTGCGCTGTCGCGCTCGCTTCTTTTGCGCAAGGTGTAAAATTTCATGAATTTACGGAATCGTCACGCCGCCGTGCCATGGTATGTGCCATGGCTTTCCCCCTACGTATCTCCACCGATTCGCCCCGCCGTCACCGTCGTATTCCCCCTCTGGGAAGGGGAATCTATTTAAAGTGAACTTTGACGAATGATCGGCCATAAACGTTGCATCCCGTGGCAGGCTCTCACAGTCGAGAGTCGGACTTGAACCTGGTTGGATCGGATCGAGGACGAGAAGAAACCAGTCATCTCATTTTTGCCTACACTCCGCATCAAATTCTTCTCACTGTACTTTCACTCAAGGCGAAGATGACCAAGGTAGCCGTACTTCTTTTCGTAGCTCTGATCGCGATCGTCGGTGCCACTCAGGTGAACCATTGCGGCTCTGGTGAGTGCATCCAACGTTTTCCTTCATTCAAATATACATGATATATAAATGCTTTACGATCGTTGAAAAAAATTGAGTGATTGTACGCGAAACACGGCGCGACGTATTAAAATCGGTTTTTCAATTCATTAACAATATTACTTACCACGTTCGATAGACGTTCGGTACAGGTTCGATAGTATTCAAATTTAGTTATTTCCACACCGACTCGTCGATAGTTTTGGTTAGCGGTATGTCTCATGCTTTGTATTTACACGTCAAGGTACAAACTTCGGTTCGAGTTAGTTTTTTTTCGTATACGTAAGAGATATGCCTGTGACGCGCTATACATATTTACATTGATACGTGTACATAATACTTTTGACTGTGAACGATACTCGAGAGTCATCGGTTAATTTGAATATGGTCAAATGACTATCACGAAAATCCATTTCGTTCGAGCACATAATTACCATAGTGCGGCGGCATATATTCTATCGTCCTTCAATCTTTTTTCCCTCGTATGAATTCTTATGTAAAATAGCGATATACACCGATCGTGTACAATCGCATGTCTCAAGGCGATGCGGTGAGAGAAACTCGGTCGTTAACGCTCTACGGGCCGTGGAAAGCCGGTTCATTCGATCCGTCTTTATTAACGCTTGCGAGATAATTATTATATTCTTCGACTCGCGACACGTGAGGAGACAATTTAACTCGGAGGAAAGGAAAATTGGCGATCGGCGTTTTTTCCGTATTACGTAAGGCACGTGCTCCTTTGTATACACGTGCGCTAGGAACGTTTACGAGTCGGACGTTCATAAATGTATTTCGCACAAAAACACGGTTTTTCCAGATGAAAAGTATGAGGATCAGAATCAGATTAAAATTACCGGCTGCAACACGCCACCATGCAAATTGAAACGCAGGACGAAGGCATCAATCGAGCAGAAGTTCGTACCTGATCGTGATGTCGAAAACGCGGTAACAGTGGTGAACGCGGCGATTCTCGGCGTACCGTTGCCATTCGTCGGCGTCGACGGGACGAGCGCTTGCAACAGCATCTACAATATGGACGGAACTCCGGCTGGCTGCTCGCTGAAACAAGGCGTCGAATACATTTACAAAAATGAGTTTTCCATACTGGCAATCTATCCTACGGTAAGCTGAACAAAAAAATTTCGTTCGACCTTGTTAAATCCGGTCCCGAAAGGAAATAATTTCGTAACTCGTTTGCCGTTACGTTATCGTGCTCAAGTCGATTTTTAACATACATTCCAATGGGTATGTAATGATTGACGTAAATTAAGAATTGCCGAATCTCTTCCTCCTCTTCAATAAGCGTTATCAAGAATCGTTAATATTCGTGGCATGGTTTGACTCTTCCCGCAGGTCTCGATGGTCATTCACTACGAGTTGAAGGATGGAGATCACTCGATCGCGTGTTTCGAAGTCCCGGCGAAGATCGTCAACTGAACAAGAGACGCTTTTATTCTGGAAGGTCGATCGCGAGATTAAGAAATAATTAAATTTCGCGCTGCCGCACCGTTGTCATTGTCAATCCATATACATATGTTTGTGCATACATACAAATCTGCGTCGTAGTCGTAAGTCGTAACTTGGACGATGCAACGTGAAAGAGATGCAATATGCAACGTACGAAGTAAAACGAAACGATTGCCACGTCGTAGCTTTATTTATCAGCGAGCTTAATCGATATAATAATTAGATAACGATTAAGGTAACGATATTGACGATGGACGATATATACGCACGTAATTATAATTGTAATTGTTAATAAAAGCTTTTGTATAATTCTGTTAAGACACGAGATGTTCTTCAATGAATCCATTTATATTTCGATACAAAAATTCTATCTTTAAATGTTTTTACTCATGCCATTTTTATCACGGTGCAAGGTCAATGACTTTGATAACCGCGGCTGACTAGTTAGTGACTAACGTATAGACTCTTCTATCCATCGCTCAGCTTCGATGAATGCATAGGTACCGATATTCCAAGTAGATAAGTTCTTAGCATATTGCATATAGCAGAATGCGATTTAGTAATGTGTGAAATTACGTAGTGAAAAAACTTAACTTTTAATCGAAATGCAATGAAATCTAATGATTCGTTCCGAGTCCGACCGTCCCGGTGGAAATTGTAGGCACTGACGTCCTATAAAAGAAAAGTTCTATGCATTTTTCTTTTAACTCCAGTATTTAACGAGTTAAGTATAATTATTCTGAACTTTATTGGTAATGACAAAATCCGGCAAGGAAGTAATGTTAGGAAGGTAGGTCCATTCTATTAGTCATGGTCAATATTTCAAGAACATTTTATTTCAACGACAATGATTTCTTTTTTTACAAAACGAGCGGCAAATAATTAAATTTTAATAAAATTCGCGCACGTCCAATTCATACTAGGAACACTGAACCTTATTCCATCTCGCTAATAAAATGTAAAATATCTAAGTTGTAAAGCCTAAAGTCACTAACGAGAGAAGTGTCACATGCCTCTCTGCTTAAGTAAGATGAGTCATCAATTTTTTATAATTACTTTTCAGTATTATAAGACGACATTTAATTTCAATTCGCAGCGGGAAAAGCGATATCGATAATACAGGAATTCGCCGACAGGTACTGCCACGGTCGGGTACTCGGGAAAATTCTTCGCAGTGTCGACTTCGATGATACGTAGAGCGAACCGCTGCTGACGGTGAACAGAATTTAATTGCAGGTATAAACAATTGGGTTAAAAAGTTAATCCTATAGATTGAATCTTGAAAGAAAAAACTTTTACATCGTGCTGTTGCATTCCGATATTCAAATTCGCTCCAAAGATCTAAAACGAGTCGTGCTCGTTTACCCAAGAATTACAATAGTGGAGGACGGTTGTACGTCAATTGTTTTCTTTCGTCGTATGCGTACGTCTCATCGCGTAGTTAAAAAAGTAGCTTGCGATCGTCGACCGATCGATGCAAGTCTCTTAATAATTCAATTAACCAATGCCGCAGTAATTAGGCGTAGCTACAGTTCATCGTCCTTCGATTCTTATCGAACATGACGAATCGGCCGGAAATATCGACTCTAAATTTCCAGAAGGTGGTCATTTGCGGAAATTGCGAAGTTAGCCGAAGCTCCATATTTTCCTAAAGATCGAGTAAACGGTGTCGCGTGAATAAAAGCGGCCGTACGTAATCTCGAGTGTGTATCGCACGAAATCAAGGCATTTTTTACTCGCTCGCGAGTCTAATGGCCGCGTTAATAGTGGCTTCTGTGTACGTTATGTCGCTGGCTCGCGAACTCTGAATAGTCGCGATTTTTGCGCGACGCGAACCGACGTTAAATTTCGCGTGTTTCCGCGTTGCCACTGACGGCTTCAGTGCGAGTCGCGATGTCGCGTGATCCTTGCGTTGCGTTACGATTAAACCTGATTTTTCTACAACTATTGCCAAAGCGAGCGCGTTCAACGGCAACGATTGAACTTACAATTAGTTTCGTAGTAGGTAACGTTTCCAACTGAGTCGTATAATGTAAGGAAACAGTAAGTGCCGCATAGCATTCAACACAATTGGAGTATTTGCAGACGGTTTTGTTATTAAGAAATTCTTTGGTTTTTCAGGAATGAGTACAGTCGTCACATTGCGAAAAGAAAGGGTGCTTTTTCTAACCGAGGAAGACTTCCGCGTTTTTGCACGTAGAGAACGCGACATACGCGTGCAACGTGTGCAAGTCCCGAGTAAGCTATTCTCTCGTCGAAAAGATAGCTTTCGAAAAGAGTGAGTGGCATTCCTGCCTTTCAGGAGCTTTTAAGATGACCATGATCCGTGACACCGGTCGGAGCTCATCCACTTCCTCGTCCGCTCGTAGGTCTCTCGTTTCGATATTTTTCCCGTCCTGTTTTCATCCCTTCCTCGAGCCACCGAACGATACGCGCATTATTTCCAACTGGTTAAACAGAAAACGAGACGCTCGCGTATCCTCCTAACTAGATAAACGCGATTACACGAAAGAGTGGTTGAACCATTGGAATCTGTCTTCGGTCCTGTTCGTAGAACATTTTCATTCCGTTTCGTCTTCGTGCAACTTTCAAGCTGTACAACTAGAAATGATACGCGTACACGATTTTCGAAGAAATCATACACAGCGACGCAATGCCGCGATTGAACCGCGAAGAAACGCAGAATTATTTACGTAAGAGAAATTGATCGTTGGTTATCGAATCGAGTAGATACACACGCGTATTCTATTCGGAAAGAAAATACGGTCGGGTATACATATGCGCAGCCTCAGCCACTATCCCCCTATAATACACCTATCGCTGTTGCGTCGATTGTTTTCGGACGAGTATACGGATACCCTGCAGCATCCCCTATTTACTGTTCTTGCGATCAGCCCGAATATTGTTTACGTACATGGAACACTCATACGTATAAATCAAATATTATTTATCGTTGCTTGTAGTACGAACTGTTAATTGAAAAATACGGTACGGAGTTAAATAGAGTGGAACGCGACGAAAGACTCGGAAAACGGATAAAAGATATTGCATCGAGCAGCGTGAAATAAAACAGGCGATAAGATATGTGTGCGCAGCGTATGTAATTACCGCCTACTGTTTACGATGTACGATTAACTGGCCAGTTTGATACGAACGAAGAGAAAAACGTATCGTAGTTTATGTTAACATTGTGTCGCGCGTCGATTCCGCGAATGTTTGCCGGCAAAGAGCACTTACGTATTATCGAAATGCACGGTTTCTCTCCCCGGCGTGTAGGACAAACATCCCTTTCTGGTTTAGCATCGTATTCGAGTCCCTTTTCGGCTGTTTCGGTCCTCCGCCCCCTCCGTTCTCCCACCCGCGGCTTTTCCTCCAACACACACCTACACCGTCTCGGGAGGTGGGCTTGCAAGCTGCGCGTCCGTCGCCGCGCCGCGCTTGCTCGTCTTCTCAGTCAGTGTGACGTCCGCCGCTGGTCGAGGATCACGCGTTTTTTCCCCGCGTCGACCTCCGACCCCGTCTTACGTTGAATCCCGAAAAATTGTTACGATCACGTGGCTACGGGTCCGTCGCGGATTTCGCGTCGTGCCAGTTCGCGCCTTCTCGCGTCACCTCGTTCCTCTCCGCCGCGTAGTCCGCGACTAGGCACGGCGGAGGTCGCGTCGTACGCACGTGTGTCCAGCGAGATCGTCAGTCATCCCTCCGTCTGGCGCCGAAACGATTCAAGATCGAAGTAACGCGCGTCGTTCGTTCGATGTGCTTCCGAGTTTCGGGTAAGTTTCGAACGATTCGTGCGCGGGGAGAAGCGGCGCGAAGAGTCGTGGAAAAGTTCGTACCGTGAATCGAATTCGTGTTCGCGGATGGGGCACGCGGGATCGAGCACGCGAGTAACAATGAATGATGTCCGAGTGATCCAGCGGTAATCCGCGAATCTATACGGGAATCGATTTCTGTGCACGAGAGCTACCGTCGACGAGATTGCGGACAGTGTCGTTGCTTGGACCTATTCCAGGAAAACCAAAAATCTGTGGCGAGCCAACGCGCGATCGAACGTCTCCGCAGTGTTTCATCTTTTTTTCGCTTCGATCACCGAACCAGTGGACAAGGATAGCGAACTCACCTGCTGACCCAATTCGCTCCGCGAAACGGTCCCGAATACTACGTTTCATTTAACTCGGGACGTATTATGCGCACATCCCTCACCTTGACGGTGTTTACCTTTCCGAAAGACAATTTTAAAAGCATTTCATTGATCACGTATTCTTCGCGAAGTGTAAACAACGCGCTTAGAGGGCGTTTCGATTTGGGACGCGGGTGTCGCGCGTACGCCTACTCTTTCGTACAGTTCGAAGTCATTAAATCGTCGAGTAATCGCGGTGCAACCTGGACGTACCATGGCCAGTGGTGACTCGGTTCGTGGATACGACGTTCGTCGTGGTTTACCGGTGCAGTGACGCGCGCGATTAATTCGTGAGTGCGACACGAATTTCTAACCCCGAGGAGCGATTCTTGCGCGTGTGTCCGGCGCTTCGGTAACGAACGTGAGTGGATGAAGGGCAGGAGAAAAAAAATCGTAGGCGCGTTGGGGCGGAATTTGCGAGCTGCGGTGATCGAGGGTGGCTCAGTGGAAGAGAGCTAAATGCGACGCGACGACGACTGGCGTTGAACTTTCCATCGAGGATCTCGTTCGCGTGTAAACAGCGATGCTCGATTCGGAACGATCGACGACGATGATCGCGAAGGACACCGCGACTTGGGTGCGTGATACCGAGGTAGAAAGATCGGAAGATGCCGCGAGTGAGTGAGCGAAGATGACTTAACGAGAACGCGATAAACGTTTGGTCCGCGACGGTAGCTGCAACGCGTAAACGGAAGAGTCGTTCTCGTGGCTTGGCTTGGCTCTCGCCTCGACGCGCGACGTGCCCGGGATTCGTGACGAATGTAACAAGAAACAACGAGAGAACATGTGGAATGTACTGTTGCTCATTGGACTAACGAAGACTGTTTGCTACGTCGCCGGAATCGCTACCACCGTCGACGAGAAATCGGGTGAGTCTTTGCATTTGCTTTCTATCAAGGGTGCTCGAACAGAGCGTTTTGGTGGCTTTTATCGGGCGATACGCCGTGCAAACGTTTTCAGGCTCCCTAAACGGAGAAGTGAACAATCGTTGGAAGCGCGAATCCTGGCATATATCGCCATAGTCCGATTCACCCACTTCTGTTTTCTTGCTTTATTTACCGCGCCCCGGTCCTATCTAGAACGGAGATTCGCCCGAGGCGTCCACTGCAGTTTTTCGCATCGCGTATCTATATCTGCGTCTACCTACACACGCGCGTATGCTGTATATGTGCGTGTACGCTACGTAATAAATCGATGAATCGGAATAGCGTGTATCGCGAACCTTTCGGTTGGTTCCTCGGGCGAGTAGATAAATTCGAATGGAAACGGAACTCGGTTTCGGTCGATGCTTTTACGTTCGTACATCGCGGAACGCGCATATTCGTTAAATACAATCATTCTGTTTGTGCGAAATAACGGGAAACGTATTTTATGAAGTATATCGTTTGCTGTAAAATCGACGTTTCGTCGTTGGCGCATGGAATTCAGTTGATTCGGGGTGGGAAATGAACGAAACAGGATCTGGACGATTCTGAAAGAAGGTGCGGAGATGTTCGGGGGGGTAATAGTCGACATTCGCCCCAGCGATTTTCGAAGTTAAAGTTAAATTCGATCGGCGAATCGTTTACTGCGAACCAGAACGCGGCCGGACTCCCCGTGTTCGTGGAACACATCGATGCGTACTCAGACGGTCGTGGCCGTTGCTCGCTTCTATTCATACGTAGAAATCCGCGTGAATCAAGTACCAACGAAAACGCGAAGCACCCGAAGAAGTACCTACTCTGGCGTGTACGAGGAAATATCGAGAGCTCGATTTAATAATGAACCGATTCCGGCACAGTTTCCTCTCAACAAACGGGACTTCTTTATTCGGTTCTCCAGTTTTCTTTCTCTCGATTCATTCCCCTTGTTGGTTCGCGCAACTCCTCTTTCCGTTTCGACTTCTCTGCGGTTATTTCATTTCTTAATTTGCTCCTATCTACTCGGGCACGACTCGCGTTAGCTTCTTGCCTGTCCCTCCTTCGACTTCTTTTTCCGCTAGCCACTGTTTTGCTTTCGCCACTGAACAGTGGCGTTGCTTCGCGCCTTTTTCTCTTCGTTCTTTCATCATCGATAAAAACTGATCGCGATACGTTAATGGAATCTGTAGGAAGTTTTTCGATGGTTAACGAATATCGCGCTTTCCAATTTGTCCGTATTAAAAAATGGAAAGAGGGAACCGAGAAAAGCTCGACGCGTTCGCCCTTCTCTCCCATGGGAACGCGTAATTTAAAATATTCGAATCGGAGCCCTCGATTGAACGTCCCTCGGCTGTAAACCGAACGTGCATACATATACGCGGCACGTCGAAAATTGAAGAGCAAATAAATATATCCTATTTGGAAGGAGCTTTCCGCGCTCGCTCCTCGATTTGGCCGACTCGATTTATTCGTTTTATTTTCCTTTTTTTTACTCGATCGGTTGGCAGCCGCATTCGGGATCGTCCTCGTCGCTGTTGGGACGCGTCGAATCCAATATTTCTCGTCGTATCTCGACCGACCCCTACCCACCGCCCTTCCTTGATTTTCACAGGATGCATCTCGGGGGTTTAAGCCCCGATCCTGTCGTGTCGACAGTTACAAACGAGACGTCCTATAACTGTCAGCAGCTGGGGAGTTTGGACCGAGACGCTTCCTCCCTGCGAAATTGCCCGTGAACGTCTCGATTGTGTCGCTTCTGCCTCGGCGAAACTCGCGTCAGCGTGACCGCGACATCGCGGCTTGATCGATACTCGCGTAATTAATCGACTCCGCGACGAGGTTCCTTCCGGTACCGGAGAAATCCTCTCCTCGTATCTCGCGTCGCCGTATACGAATCGCGTCGCGCGTTCCAATTACCCGAGAGAGAAAACTGGAGAAACGTCCCGCGCGGCACGACCGATCGATCGGTTCTTTGCCATCTTCCTCGCTACCTCCGCAAATACTTAACCGGCAGTTTTTGTTCGTTACGCGATGGAGTTTCCGCATTCTTCGGATATCGAGCCGTAGTCCGTCGTCGGTCTCGCTTTAAGAAACTCTTCGAGGCCATTCCGGGCCAGTTTGCTGGCTCGTCCTTCCCGATCTGGTAACAATGCCGAGAACGGAGATTCATGGCTCGACCCACCCAGGGGAGGAAGATAGGTACGAGGTACACGGTGTATAAAGACAGCCGTGACGGAAACGGATGTCGTTCTTCCGGTACTCTCTGTCGGCGATCGATATATATTACGAGCCGCGTATCGTTAATATCGTTAGAATCCTCGTTTTTCATCGGGCACCCAGCGCTCCTCGACCCTGCCGCGTCGACGACAGGTCCTCTTCTCGACGGGGGAGGAAACTAAATCCGCGTCCATCGCGTCGAACTTGATTATCCGCTCGGGGAAAACGCTCAGAATTAAAACGTAAAGCGTGATCGAGGAGCTGGACGTGTAACGGTAAAATCGTCGGTGATGTTTATCGTAACAGAAAATGACGAACATTTTTGGATATAGAAATAGTCGCGCGAAGCGGGAAGGAAACGATGGTATCGGTGAGGAAGGGGGGTGGTATCTTCCATCGGTGTCCCGGTGCGACTACCTCTCGAGATTTGCCGAATTCCTTCGGCATCGGCGATAGAGACGGATAGGTAATTGGAACACGATTTGGGAATTGCTCTCGCCTCGTCGACGACGCCAGATGGATGAACATATTTAATAGAGCGAGTACCACGGATCAGACGTGGAGATCGAGAAATCTCGATCGATCGACTCGCCGGTAGCTGCAGCACTTACGAGGAACGCGGTTTAATAATCGACTTCTGAATCGAAAGGGCGATATTATCGCTTGGCCGTACTTTAGCTCGATACGTTATCGCGCGTGTTCGAGTACAATTAACACGTAGTTTTTTGTAGGTTCGGTCAGAGGGGCAATCTTTGGGTAGGTGGAATATATCGATCGCGCGGCAGGTTTTCGCGAGCCAGGAACCGACTGCACTCGGTTTCGTCGGCGAAACGTTCGCGTTAAGATATCTGATTACATCGCGGAATATGTAGTCACGAACCGAAGGGTGGCGAGGGCGAGCGCGGTACGAGTCCGAAGACGTAGCACGAATTCCAACGACTTCATATCTTCGCCGGTGAATAGCGTTCTCCCCTTATCTGGCTTAATAAGTTGATTGCGACGTTTCGCGAGACAAGATCCACGATCGTTGAAACGGTTCCGCGCGCGATCATCTCGATTCGATCTCTGGGTGGTAATCGCGCGGCGATTTACGCGCGGAACGATTAAGGGGACGTAAACGTTTTCGGTTAGATCGGGATCAGCCGGCACAGTAGTGGCGTACCAATTTGCTATTACAGGAAAGGTCTCTCGTTAGAGGCAAGGCCGATGACCTACGATAATAATGAAAAATGAGAGGAGAGTCGCGTAATAGGTAGTTATTGTTCGCGGCGGTGGCGGCGATAACACGACGGATACGCGCCGGGTGCTGGACGTAACGCGTTCGACTCGATATATCCTCACAGGATTCTCGCGTGTTCCACGTTCCACGACGGGTCGCTCGTCCGTTCCCTGAATAGATCACTCCTCGGGGACTGATGCTTTTAACCATGCTCCCGATCACCTATCCTCCTACCGGTCACATTTTCACTGGCTGATCCCTCGACCGTCTTTGCGCCTTGGATTCTTATAATCAATTAAAAGTGAAAAAGCGCGTTGAAAATCAGGTCTCTGGACCGAGACCTTCCAAACGGAAGAGAAGGAATCGCTTTAAACTTTCAATTGTATTCAGCGACTCGTTGATAGCCATCCGTCACAATTTTTATTTCATTCGATATATGCGATTCTCCTTACGTTCTTACGTTGGAAGACTAGCGTGTTGGTTCCTTGCATTGTGAAGTCTACCATCAGTGAAACTTGGAAAGTACCGAGCGACGATCCTTCTGATCTCCGTAACTCCTATTCGTATACGCATACGTGGCTAATTTTATAATTGATCAGGGATTCGTTGGCAGAACGAGTATCGTGTTTTAAGGATGTATTGGCTATACAGTAAATTCCAAAAGTTTATACACTTTAGAAACACATTTTTTAAAAAGAAATCAGACGTCGGAAGGCCATTGCTAATAATAAACAACAAAAAAAAATTTTCGACTTTTCCGAGATTTTTCCAAGGGGTACCCCTTCAGATTTCGCGAAATTTTCGTTTTTGGCTAATAACTCCCAAACCGTTGGACATACGGAAAAATTGCATCAGACCTTTCTTGTAGAGAACGACGAGATCTACAATTTCCATGTAAAATTTTTCTGCTAGCTTGAATAGTTTACGAGTAATTTGCAAAAAACTGTTTTTTCGTTTTTCGTCAATAACTCGTAAACTATTAATGCTAGCGGCAAACTTTTATACAGAAATTGTAGATCTCGTCGTCCTCTACAAGAAAGGTCGTATGCAATTTTCCCGTATGTCCAACGGTTTAGGAGTTATTGAGGAAAAACGAAAGTTTTTTCCAAAAGTTCGCCGTTTCGACGGTGGAATGGTCGGATTTCGTCAACATCAATAAAATGCCAAATAATCATACTTAACTCATTAAATATCGAAATTAGAAGAAAAATGCACTATTTTTAATTATCGGAAATGCGTATTTCTAAGGTACATAAACTTTTGGGATTGACTGTATAACCAATACATCCTTAAACTTTCCCCATCGCGAATAGTTTCACGAAAGTTGCATATCGTATCGGCTGTCGTCATCGAGAGAATTTCACGTCTAATAGAGATTCGTACTTCCGTTCGGAACTTCATTCCTCTGCGGTGAGTGCGACGCAACCGTTAATACGTAGCAGCGTATCACCTCCGCGTGTATTATATTTCGCGAGGCTTCCACCTTTCCATTTTACTCATCGTTAACCAGTTCCGAATCGGATTCGACGGACGA